CTTCGCCAAAGAATCAATGCCCACAAAACAGACATTAGACAGGATCTCAAAGAAAAAACAGTTGCTTGTCATTTCAACCAGAAAGGACACAGTCTTAATGACCTGCTAACCTGCATCCTACTTCAGAAGACATTCAAATTTGCACTTGAAAGGGAATCCTCTGAACTGGCATTCATGCTAAAATTCGACACTCTCCATACCGGACTTAACAAAGACCCCAGCTATCTTACACATTACAAAGATAGCTTCCCCAATTATCACCTCTAATACTATTAACTCACAGACATTTCCCCTTCCCCACCTCTAATATCATTAACTCACTGGCATTCACCTTCCTTCCCCCCGCGCCCCTACATCCCCCTTCTGTTCTGTAATGTGATTTGTCCTTTTCATGTGTGTTCATTTTTTTTAAATTGTATCCTTTGGTATATATGGTTGTGACTATTTTCTTCCATTATTTGATCTGAGGAAGTGGGTCTGGCCCACGAAAGCTCATCATCTAATAAACCATCTTGTTAGTCTTTAAAGTGCTACATAGTCCTGTATTTTGTTTCCGCTACACCAGACTAACACGGCTACATTTCTATCCCAGAATCATGTTTGCTTTTTTTTTTTTTTTGCAATGCTGTTGACTCACATTTAGCTTGCTGTCCACTAAGACCCCTAAATCCCTTTCCGCAGTTCTCCTTCCTACATAGTCGCTTCCCATTCTGTATGTGTTAACTGATTATTCCCTCCTAAGTGGAATACTTTGCATTTGTCCTTATTAAACTTCATCCTATTTAGCTCAGACCATTTCTCTAGTTTGTCCAGATCATTCTGAATGTTTATCCTGTTCTCCAAAGCACTTGCAACCCCTCCCAGCTTGGTATCATCTGGAAACTTAAAAAGCATACTCTCTATGCCATCATGTCAATCATTGATGAAGATATTGAACTGAACTGGTCCCAAAACATACCTCTGTGGAACCCCACTTGTTATGCCCTTTCCAGCATGATTGTGAACTGTTAATAACTATTCTCTGAGAACAGTTATGCATCCCCTTATAGAAGCCCCATCTAGGTTGTATTTCCCTAGTTTATTGATAAGAGGGTCATGCAAGACTGTATCAAATGCTTCACTAAAGTTTAGGTCTACCATATCCACCACTTCTCCCTTATCCACAAGACTTGTTATCCTATCAAAGAAAGCTATCAGATTGGCTTGACATGATTTGTTCTTTACAAATTCATGCTGGCTGTTACCTACCACCTTATTATTTTGTGAGTTGTTTAAAAAAAGCCTCATCCACCTCTTCTGCCTAGGTAGTTGGTCTGTAGTAGACTTTTACCATGACACCACCATTGTTTTTACCTCTTTTAACCTAACCCAAAGACTCTCAATAAGTCGGTCTCCTATGTCCATCTCCATCTCCTTCCCAGTACAGTACCTCAGAGAAGAAAAAACAAATCCCCAAGGACCCTGCCATGAAAAAAATGTCTTCTCAAATTAAGTAAGCAGCTCAGCCCTGCGCATATAAGCTATAATAAGGGTGTCTACACTGTGGGCTAAAGTCAAGTTAAGATATGCAACATGAACTACACTCATTACATAGCTGAAGTTTAAGTAGCTTAACTCAGCTTTTGGCACTGTCTACACAGCAGGAAGTCAAAGGAAAAACACTCTTCCTTCGACTTCCCTTACTCCTCGTTAAATGAGAAGTCAGACTAAGAAGCCTGTTATTTCAAAATTATTTCGAAATAATGGGCTTGTTGTATAGACATGCACTCTGTTATTTTGAAATAACATGAGTTATTTCAAAATAAGTGTGCAGTGTAGACACACGAGT